GAGAGAGAGAAGACTAGCACGAGCAGATCGGGACGGGAAAACCTGATGTTGGCTGCGCAGAAGAAAAAAAATAGGTGCGAAGAGCGAAGCGAGGGGATGACAAATGGAATTAATAAAAGGAGAAAAGGCAGAAAAAGGAAGAAATCATGATCGAACCCAGGTCTCCGAGTGGAAGAGTACGACTCTAGCCAGTAGGCTGCTTGTGCAAGAGTTACTTGTGGAGGGATTTTTATATGAATCATGCGCGACGCTGGAGACTGTAAGAAAAACGATTCGTTTTTGCCAATTACAGGTGGCATTGATGGGTAAATTTTGTCAAATTTAAGGGCAATTTTTATGACGTACGACCAGAAGCAATAGGCGGTTTATTAGTAGGTAAAGATAAATTGTTTCGTAAATAATACTTTAAAAAGATGTTTCGGGTTGTTGGCTGTGAATCAACTAGGCTGGCCCACCAAACATGAAGCGAGTTTTTTTTTCTTAACACACGATGTAAAAATTCTTTCTTTCTTTTTCTTAACGCGCGATGTAATAATTCCAAAAAGAAAAAACATGCCGTGGAGTCGACCTTGGGAGCTAGCAGGGTTGACCTGATTTCTCTAGCCACTACACCAGACGACTATGACCACCATAATGAGAGGCCGAAAATATGTAATCAGAATTTTCACGAGTTTTAAAAAATGGTCCGTTATCTCTTCCTCCTGTAGACAGACAGAGATAGCAGGGCAACAAGGGAACATATGTCCAAATTTTCTGTACAAAAGAGCCAACCAGATAAAAATCTTTGCGTGTTAGTGGCGCCCAGCTTCTCCAAACGCAGTTAAAATACCACTGAATCCCGCTTGTGCTCGGCACATTAGCTAAACTAGCTGAGTACTCGCACTGAATTTGTGATGCTCATTCTTGTTCCTATTCTCAGTACTATTTTTTACAGCGTCCCAAGTTCAACATAGAAGCCAACAAGTGCGCTCCCACGTTTTGCGCTCACGACCTGCCTACCAGAAGCAAACGGACGCGGCGTTTGCGGCCTTCGTGGCGCGGGGGATGCGGCCGTAGCGGAACCCGTAGCCGGCCCGGCGGGGCCAGGAGCGGCGGCGGAGCGCGGGCGCGGCCCAGCCGAAGCAGAGGCGGATGCGCGCCCGGAGGCGTCGGAGCCCTTTGGCGGCGGCCCGACGCAGGCGTCGCACCCCTGCCCAGACGACGCGGCGCGTGCGCACGCGCGGCGAGACGTCGGCGTCGCGGGAGAAGTGGTAGCTCCGGAGGAACAGCTGCCGCCGCTCCACCTGCCGCTCCCACCGCGCCATGTATTCCACGTACGACCACGCCGTCGTCGCCGGCGCCGCTACCTGCACGGACATGGGCGCTGGCAGGTTCTTGGCTGGCCGGCTGCCTAACTATGCTCGGCTCTCCGTGGGTCTCTTGATGGAAGCAAGAAAGAGTAAGCGCGTGCGTGAGGAGGATGAGTAGTGGTGGGCAGCGGTTTGTGATCTGAGGATGATTTGTAGGGGGGGAGAGGCGGCTGGCGAGCCACGGCAGCGGGAGTAGGATGGGTTGGCGGCGCTGGCTGCTGGCAGCTTCGGGGGGAAGGGAAGGGAGATGGCAGAGGAGATGGTTGGAGTGGGAGCGAGACGGTGGGCTGATTATGCTAACCTTTGGACGTTTTGATTGCGTTTGGCGGGCTAATTATTTTTACTTTACATAGTACTCTCTCTATTAAGAAATACTTATAAAAATGTCTAGATTACTACTTTAATGATCTAAACGCTTTTATATTTCTTTACTGGGATTGCGGGCCCACCCGCGTTGGTGTGCCCAATCCTCCTCTTGCAACCGTTGGATCGGCAGGAAGAGGCAGGTTTTGACCTTTTCGTATTCATTACTGTTTCGCGCCCGTGCATGCTTAAAACCTGAAACCTGCGCGTGAAAGCATTGCCAAAATTGTCCACGCGTGCCAATCCGAACACGGAACGCAGATTTACATTTTAGTGCTAGAACGATCAGAGGAAACGCCACTGGTGTGAAGGCAAGCCAAGCTCTGGGTTCTCTTGTCAATCCTAGAGCGGTTCGTCAGTGCTTCCGGGCTGAGTTTTGGATTCGATTTGAAGGTTCCGGGTTGCTTTGTAACCACGGCCTAGGTGGCAGCTTTCACCGACGTCCTTCGTGCCGAAAGCCTGAAGTTAACTGGCGCGTGTTAGAATTACTGTATCAAATTAAACGCGAGCCTCATCATCATGTCATACACGCTTCTGTATGGTGCGTAGTAGATCTTGGTTAGAATTGGCGTCAAGACGGTTAAGCTCATGTGTTCGTACAGTACTGTTGAGCGTACGGCGTCGCATGGCGTATTATCGCCTCCATCGGCACCGCCACCACTCAGCGCCAATTGCTTGCTTAATTTAGACTGGGAGTCAAACGATATACGACTCTATAGATTGAGTGTGCATGCGTGCATATCCAGGAATGAAGAATGATGATTAGCCAATGATGACGATGGCGCGGGTCAATGGGAAAGGAAGAAATCACATAGCTTTTTTTCTTTTGAGGATAGGAAGAAACTAGCTAGGCTGTCTACCAAATTGGGTCGCGTAAGGAGATGCAGCCCCCGCTAGCTAGGCTGATACCAAGACATCGCGTTGGGAGCAACCGACCCGGTGACTGATGTTTAGTACTTCCTCTGTCTTAAAATTCTTGTCTTAAATTTGTCTAGATACGGATGTATCTAATACTAAAATGTGACTTGATATATCCGTATTTAGACAAATCTTAGACAAGAATTTTGAGACGGAGGGAGTACCACTTCGGCTAACGAGGGAAGTTTCAACCAACTTATAAACCCACTCGCCGCAGCATCCTTGTCTCTTTGGGGACATCCGATAAAATTGAAACGATACAGAAAAGGTTAGCATGGCACCTGCGCAAGGATGACACGCACAAATCGAGAAATGGTTCAATTTTTTTTAAGATTTCGCACGCAACTTCTTTTTCTTCTCACAGATATGAACCTAGAGTCCTTTTTTTAGGGATATGCCCCTAGAGTGTTACTTGCATGCCCTTGGTTCTTTTCGAACGCTTGCAACTAGCACCCAGGAGCATAAGACCCATGTGTGTAAGGGCATCTCCAGCCGTTCGGCCCCCCAGGGCGCCTAAATAGAGCGGCCTGGGGGTGTGCCGGCGCTAGTTCGGCCCCTGGGGGCGACCTAGCTCCCAGTCACGCCCCCAAGCGCCGGCCCCAGGATGCGGGAAATTTGAACTAGGTCGTTCCCGCTCATAAAAGACGCCACAAATCCGGCGATCGGACATAGTCTGGCGTTACAAAAAACAGAGCGCCGCACGCCGCAAGTTCGCGTTTGCAACGAATCACTCGGCGGGGTCGGCTCCAGGCATTGGCGGAGTCGGCGTGCGCGGGCTCGGCGGTGTCGGAGCTGCTTCGGTGCTGGGCTGTGTCGGCGCGGCTTCGGTACTGCTGGGCGGCGATGTAGAGGCGTCGTTCAGGCTTGGCGTCCGTGTGGCCGTGGGCGCGGGAGCTGGCGTCGTCGGCGTTGCCGTCTGCATCTGGTTCAGGATGAGGCCGCGCTCTGCCATGTACCACGTCCTGAGCTGCTCGTCGTTGCTCTGGAGCATGTCCGCCCCGCCCATCAGAAAAGCCATGTCGACGTTCCTCTTCTTCGCGGCGACGTTCGTCCGGAGCAGGTCGACGTTGGTCCGGAGCAGGTCGAGCTTGATGGCGTTGTTCGTCATCAGCGACGACCACCGCGCCTCGGTCTTCTCTTCACGTAGGACGGCCCGGGCCTGGGCGTCGGCGAGGCAATGCTCGATGGACTCCTGCACTCGCGCGGTTGCCGCGTCGGCGTTTTTCCCCTTCTTTGCCAATTTGTGGCCGTCCGACCGCCCCTCTGACGCGCCCGGAGTCGTCGCGTCCGGCTTGTATGTCTTCTTGGCCTTGTCGAGGGTACGTCGGACTTCCGCCCACTTCTCGCACTTGTCAATGCGCTTGTAGACGTGGAGGAACTTGAAGTCGACGTCGAGGTTGTCGCGCCGATACATGGTGAACATGCGCAGCAACTGCGCGGAGGAACAAACAGTTGGCGGGCGGCAGGCGTAGACGACGAAGAGATGCGGGCGAACGGCGTGCGTACCTGATCCTCAACGCTGGCGCCGCTCTCCGGGCGAGCCGCGACCTCCTCGACGATTCCATGCCATTTGTTGCACGCCCCCTGGATACGCCCCCAATGGTTCGCCATCGCCTTGGAGCCGCGCTGCATGTAGACGCCTTTGAAGTAGGGGTCGACGAGCTTCCGCTCATCGAACTCGGCCTTGATGCGGTCCCAGTACGTCTCGAAGCTTTGGTTCGTGCCGGTGGTCGGGTCGAGGCAGACGACTTTCCATGCTTCGGCGAGGCATTCCTCCTCCTTGGACGTCCACTTGATGCGCGGTTCGCCTGGCCTAGCCGCCGGCTTCTTCTTCTGGCGCCCCTTCGTCGGATCAGGAGCCGGCTCCTCCTCGTCCTCCTCCTCCTCCTCCTCTTCCTCCTCCTCCTCCTTGGGTTCCTGCGCTTCGTGCGCGTCCTCGCCGTAGACGTAGCCGAGCTCGGCCTCCATGTCGCCGCTGAGATCCACTACCTCGTCCTGGGTGGCGAACCCGGGAGACGCGGCGGCCGCGGTCGATCCTGTCGCGATGATGTTGTCCATGTCGGCTCATGTGTCGTCGGTGTCGCCGAGGTGCGAGAAGGGCAGCGGTCCACGGCGAAGATGGGGCGTCGGTGTGGACGCGTAGGCGGGCGGCGAGTAGTTGTATGGAGGGTACTGCACGCTGACGAAGGCGGGCGAGGATGTGCGCGTCGCGGGGTGGCCATGGGGAAGGTCACGTTTGGGTTGAATCCACCGTGCGCGTCGCCGTCGGCGTAGCCGGGCGACGACGATCCCCATGGAGATCCGACGCCTTGCTGTCCACAGGGCGCGTACTGGGCGTGGCTGACGACGGGTGGATTCAACATCCCCGCGTGGTCGGCCGGTGAGGAGGACGCCGCCGCGCGCGCCGCGTTGTCGCGGGCCTTCTCGGCGATGGCCCTGTTCCGCCGGTCGGCGGTGACTGCGTCGCGTCGCTGAACTTCCACCCTCCACTCGGCGTTCGACATGCCCGGTGGCTTCAATGGCGGCGCCCTCGGCTTCCTCTGCTTCGGCTGGGCCACGGTGCCAGTCGTGGTTGCCGCCGCGCGCGGCATGGCGTACTCCTTCGGCGGCATGGCGGCGACTGGAAGGCGAGCGGGAGAGGGTTTGGTGGGAGAAAGGGAGGGAATGGCGGGAGGAAGGCGAGCGGGCGGGAGGGATGCGAGGAAAAAGCCCTCGGGTCGCCGCCAGGCGGACCCACGCGCCTTTTTTGCTTGTGCCGGCTCTCCAAGCACCCCCAGGGCAACGGATTCGGTCTGGGTCCACCGGCACCAGTTTTGACCCGAGCCGGCGAAAAACGGGATTCTAGGGGCGTGACCGGGCCGTTTTTTTGGCCCCGGCGCGGCAAAAACGTTTGAGGAAGGCCTGTTGGAGGCGCGGCTGGAGATGCTCTAAGTTGCAGTAGAACTTCCCCAAAAATTTGATTCCACTTGTCTTGCAAGCAAAGTCAACCCCTCTAGAATTAACAAATCTCTTTCCTTCTGGAATGGGCGCTGCTAAACATACGACGGTGCTCAGCCGATTCTGGCATGATCCTACTAATCTAACCATGTATTCATGGGACAAAATGAAGTAGAACCGCTGGATGATGCATCATCCATCGATCGGCCAGTTAAGTATCGTCTGCATAGTACTTTCGTTCTGGAATTTGGCGTGTGACCGTGCACAACTACCATTACCAGTTAGCTTTCTTCGCACTCTCTCTGCTTAGTCTCCACCGATGTAACACGTACCACACACGTGTCCACGTCGACGGCTGGAATATTTCGTGTCGACGTCAATTGCAGTTAATACGGCTGAAACAGTATGGGTATTTTTATTGTCACTGTCAAGCAACGCTGAGGTGTCTGGATCCGTAGTTTATTTCCACTCGCCTAGACACGTCACGCTTGATGCATTGCATGGACAGCATCGCGCTCCTGATTCCATCAGGACAGATCAGTACGTGCAGCAGTAACGTAACCCCGCCCACGTCTACGCCAGACGTCGACCGCAGTAAAACAAATGCTGATGATCATGCATTCAGTAGTAAGTGATAATCTGAAGGATGACCAACGTTATCGTTCAAGTAAAAAAAATATAGATGCTTGGGTGCCGGAGCAAGTGATAATCTCATTCCTATCATCGGTGATTTTTACAACGTCCCAATGTCGGACATACTAGTAGTAGAAGATAACATGTGCGCGTTGGAATTTTTCCCCCCTATTCTAGCTCCACGCGACCTGGCTACCAAAAGCAGACGGACGCCGCGTTGGGGGCCTTCGTGGCCCGGGGGATGCGGCCGTAGCGGAACCCGTGGCCGGCCCGGCGTGGGGAGGAGCGCCGGCGGAGCGCAGGCGCGGCCCAGCCGAAGCAGAGGCGGATGCGCGCCCGGAGGCGTCGGAGCCCCTTGGCGGCGGCCCGGCGCAGGCGTCGCGCCCCGGCCCAGACGACGCGGCGCGCGCGCCCGCGCGGCGTGACCTCGGCGTCGCGGGAGAAGTGGTAGCTCCGGAGGAACAGCTGCCGCCGCTCCACCTGGCGCTCCCACCGCGCCATGTACTCCACGTACGACCACGCCGTCGTCGCCATCGTATTTCCCCCCGTCGTCCCCAGCGCCGCTACCTGTGAGGACATGGGCGCTGACAGGCGGGTTCTTGGCTGGCCGGCTGGCTAACTCTGCTCCGCTCTCTGTGCTGTGGGTCTCTTGATGGAAGCAAGAAAGATTAAGCGCGTGCGTGAGGAGGATGAGTAGTGGCGGCAGCGGATTGTGATCTGAGGAGGGATGCGGCGAAGCGGAGAGTTTATAGGGGAGGAGCGGCGGCGGCTGGAGCAAGGAGGAGGGGTTGGCGGCGCTGGCTGCAGGCAGCTTCGGGGGCAAGGGAAGGGAAGGGAGATGACAGGGAAGATGGTTGGATTTATGCTGACCCGACGTTTTGCTTGCATTTGGCGGCCTAATTTAACTCCACTTTACAATGCATGGATATAATCAGACACTTTGTGCTTGATTGGAAAATGACACTGCCATTTGTAGCTTCCGCCTAGTCTCCACCACACGGCTGTAGTATCAATATTTGTCTCTCGCGCACGATCAGAACTATCACATCTGCGCGTGTGGTGTGTAGTACAAGGAGCGCAAGGTGTTTTAGCTACAGGTGATTCTCTCACCAATGCCTTCCTGCCGTATGTAAAGGTGCAGGACCATATGCATGTGTATATCAAAGTATTTCTTGCATTTTTGTTTTATGTCAAATCAATGTCAGACAGATGGGACCCATGTCAGGTGAGAGAGAAAGACTATCCTGGAGTTTCATGCGGTGCCGGGTACAAATCCTTTCCTTTTATTTTCTCTTAGTATTTTCAATCATTTCTATCTTTTAAACCATACTGTGTTTTTGAAATATTTTATATATTTGAATTCCTGAAGCCAAGAGCTTTAGAATAAGACCAATTTTGGATGCATTTCAAACATGTTTTAATTTCAACATTTCAAATGACTGAAATCAGGTTTCTGGAACAAAGTGAAATATGTTTTTTGAAATAATTGAAATTAGTTTTTTTTTCATTGAGTGAAATCAATTTTGAAATATGTTTTCTCAACAGAGTGAAGTATGTTTTCTCAACCGTGTGAAATTGTTTTCTTTAGATGAGTGAAATTTGTTTTCCATATACATGACACATGTTTCGGTGTATAAATACGTTAAATATAGTGAAATGTGATTTCTAAAATGAGTGAAATCTAACTTTTGTAAACGGGTGTAATGTGTTTTCCGAATCTAGTGAAATGTGAAACTGACTGAAAGGTTTTCTGAAACTAATAAAATAGGTTTTTTGAAATAGTTGAAATTAGTTTTTTTTTCATTGAGTGAAATCAATTTTAAAATGTGTTTTCTCAACTGAGTGAAGTATGTTTTCTCAGCCGTGTGAAATTATTTTCTTTAGATGAGTGAAATTTGTTTTCCATACACATGACACATATTTTGGTGTGAAATATGTTAAATATAGTGAAATGTGATTTCTAAAATGAGTGAAATCTATCTTTTGTAAATGGGTGTAATGTGTTTTTCGAATCTAGTTAAATGTGAAACTGACTGAAAGGTTTTTTGAAACTAGTGAAATGTGAAACAGACTGAAATGCATTTTCTGAAACGAGTGAAACGATTAAATTCAAACTAGCCAAAGTGTATCCAAGATTGATCTTGTTTTGAAGATCTTGTCGCCCTGAATTCAAAAATATAAAAAGATTCAATATTGGATATTTAGTTTAAAAGTTATCAACATTTTAAAATGTCACATGGAAAATAAAGTGCATGCATTTAGTGTCTGCATGCAGCCTTGGTGCACCTGTTTGCTCTCACCCTGACATTTGACAAAATGTGCTGCTGTGGCCCCCGTCCAGTGGAAGTATATCTGTTTGTATAAGATTTTGTATTTCTATAAAAGACAAAAATAAAGCATGATGGGGTCTCCAGCCAGATCAATCTCAAAGCAACGTTTAACGGTGAATGCTCCACCGGTAAGAAAACTTCTTCATACAAGGAAGTCACTGCATACATGTTCAAGAAATTAGATAGTCAGATGACTCTGCATAAACTCGATCATTTTCACCAATGAGTTGGTCTAGAACAAAATCAGGTTCTAATTAAGCAGAAAAACATTTGAGGAGGGATCGACACTTCCACTTTGGCATTAATTAACTACTCAGCTTGTAAGTTGTAACCGTTTGCTCAGCAGGCAGGCATGATTTGACTTTTCTGTTTGCCCCTGTGCATGTTTAAGGCCTGAAAGTAGCGCGCGAATGCGAGTCTGAAATGTGTAATGCGTGCGTGCTGAAATAGTCCGAACATGGAGCAGAGATTTAGTTTTGAATAGTGGTAGAACGAACAGAGGAAGCGCCATTGACGTCAAGACAAGCGCCGGCCTGCTCCTCAGATTCAGAAAAACTAAAGCTGTACGGCGATGGTCAATGGCAGTCCTTCTGTCTAGCCGGTACAGGCCAGTGGACGGACGAGCGGTGCCCGTTGACGTTTGACCTTGTCACTCGTTTTTTTTCTAAAGGAGGATGACCCTCGATGCATTAGAGTGATGCATGCAACCATATTGTATTTAATAAAAATGCACAACGTAGACTGAGGTCCAAATCTAGCTCACACACGGAGCTTAACAAAAAGGAAAATAAAAGGTGTCACAGCCGGCAAAAATAGTAACAGGCTACGATATCTATACACTAGCCTATTATTAGCTCGTCATTCAAATCAGTTGAAGATAATCCGTGCTGTCACCTTTCAACGGTTGCATCCAGTAGCCAAAAGTTTCCTGAAGTCCGCATGAGTGAGTAACAACCTACGGATCCAAGTAGTGGCTCTGTAGATAACCTGCAAAAAGTTAATAAAATTTTTCCGCTTAAAGAGCATGTCGTTTCTGTTGTTTCATATAGCCTAAAGTAGTGCACATATCCCTATCCGAATATGTCTTGGTATATTTGGTTTCACTCCATTTAGTCACGTCCCAAATAACGTGTTAATGCAAGTTGGAGGATTAACGTTGAAGGCTATATGTATCATGCGTCATAATAGTTTTGCCAACAGGCAATTGAAGAAAGAGGTGTTGTATAGTTGTATCCTGATCACAAAAACAACACCCAAAACCACCTACCCACACCTTTGCTGTTGGAGTATAATGTCCGGCCCTCTCCCGTGGTTCGGAATTTTGGATGAGTTGGTCGGTGCATGATTTCAATATGGTATCAGAGCCAAGAGGTCTTGAGTTCAAGACCCTGCCAACGCAGTATTAAATAAAACGATTATGCGGCCTATATCAATCCCATATCCAAGGACTAAAATAGTCTAGACGTGAGGGGGAGTGTTGAAATATATTGCCCGTCTTCCTCCATCAGTCTGGACTGATGGATGAACTGGTTAGGTGCATAAACTTACAACCAAGAGGTCCAGGGTTCAAAACCTAGTAAACACAATAAATAATTGTGGCCTGCCCCCGCTTCCGCTGCCCACGTCGGTGAGTGTTGGCGTATAATGTGTTGCCTACTCTCTTCCATCACATCGGTTTTTTGGTTGCATTGCCTAGAGCATGCACTTCTACATTCGCTTTACCAAATTATCTTTTGTCAAGATCACTCCCTTATGGGCAAACCGCATAAAGATTTTAATTCTTACCGGAACTTTAATCTTACATATATGAAGGGATCTCGGAATTGGCCCAGGGTCAATTAGATCCAAATACATGGATTTCACTGAGAAGCTATCGTTCGTAGATAATTTTCAATGAATGGTGTCTGACTGGTCAGCGAGTTGAACCTCCATCAACCTGCGTACCAAGTGTAGCATTGAGTTCCAACGTAACCCCACAAGAGACCTCCTGAATTCAATATTAAGAGAAACAGTTGTAATACTGTGGCAACAGTCTTCCTTACGTTGTATAATATTTTTTTTTTGAAATGGAGGCAAAAGAATTGCCTCATCGATTAATTAAGAAGAAGAGAATTGTCCGGTTAATGTACGGGAAACCGGGCTAAAACCGATACAATCAGACCATAATTGGGTTACTCACCAATCATGACCTCACGAGCACACGTGCAACCCGCCAAACCCTCCTAACACACAATAACTCCTCATGCTTGTACACCACAATTTTGAACCCGACAAGAACATCCCAACAAAAGATAGTGAACCACGCCGAAACCACAATGACAACCCGAACCGTGAGGATGAGCCGAGGGACCGGGAATCATCCATTAAGCAGCTGCGGGCGTCTTACCTATGGCGCCACTCTTTTTGCCTTTGCACCTTAGTGACTTCTCCTTCACTATACCAGTCCGAGGGCAATCACTCACCTTGTATTTGCCCTTGAATGTCGTTCCCGTCAGGAGGCAAGCAATCGCACTTCCAGTTTCAGGGCTAATAGCCTCCACGCTAGCGAGCAAGTCACAAAGCACTTTTACAAAGAGAGCATTGGAATTATCCGTCGGCGACGGTGGAATGGGTGCAGAAGCCACATGTGAGCGCGCAGACGAGTTCACCTCACTCGACTCACATGTCAAGGTTGAATCATGTCCCTCACACGTGGTTGTCTGCGTGTCCACCATCATATGCTCCATTGATAGAGGCGAATCAGAGCTCGCACATAACACTTGAAGCTCGGGCATCACCTGCAACACCGGAGGCACAACCACAGGAATGGTCCCGCCCTCAGCGGTAGACATCACAGTGGGCAAGGCAGACGGCGATGATGAGTTGTCCATAGCTCTAGGAGAAACAACCATAGAGCTCCTCAACCCTGTTCTCCACTGAGCCACCAACATCAACCTCACTAGAAGGATGTGACGTAGGAGCGGATTGCAACACAACCGGCACAAGAGAGAGCTTTCCCAGAGCAGCCTCCGCTCGCTCCAGAAAGCTCCCAACGCGCACCAGGAGTTTAGCCTGGGCTGCTAGAGTGGACTGGAGCAGTACTTCAGATTGGGTTGCCGACTCAGCGTGAGCGGAAACGACCGATGCCCAGGACCTTCGGTGAAGCACCTTGGAGGGGAGCTGGGATACCATCGGACCATCACAAGGAGTTGGAGCTCGGTAATGCTCGGTGTCGAGGCGAGACCGTGGTGGCATGGCAAGGCATGCAAG